GTGGATGACATTTTTGTGCTGTAAATGATAGAAATGTGTGCGATTTGTTGATTAAGCTTGCTGCCCTCACTAGTCAGCGCCACGAATACTAGTTGGTTAAGCTAATTATTGTTAAACAAACTGATTATATTTAATATTTTAGTAATGCACAATGCCAGTAGGTGGTGTGTCCAGGATATCATTCAGACACCCGCCACTTGCTGAGGCCACCATAGCCCCGCTCTCCCCGTGGTGCTGTTAACATTTGTCATTAAGGTGGAACAGATGACATGCAGCTGGTTTGGCAGGTTTTTGATTTAGAAAATGAAATGAATGCAGAGCTTTCCCTCCTGAGTTTCGGACCCATATTCTCTTATTTCACCCTCGTCGTAGGAGAAGTCCTGTTCTGAGCCTGAACTGATGTTGGGCCCAAATTATCTGGTAATTTGAAGGGTTTACACATCTAGTCTACAACCTCCTAAACTGCATGCAGACTCATCGGGGGCCCGCGATTATTATCGAATGTGTTTGATATTTACGAATTACAACCTGGATGATTGCGATTCTTACACTACCCCCCTGAAGCAGGGAGTGCTGTTGCCAAGCACCACTAAATATTCTAGCCCTTGAGGCTTCTATCACACATATTCAGACTGATCTTCCAACTGTTTTCTTATCAGGACTCGTTTAGCCTTCAGCTTCACTTTTGGTCTCTCTGCAAAGTATCAACAATGTTCCAGCAAGTTGTTGCAGCACGGTCTCTGTTTTGTTTACATCTGTTTCCTCATGAGATCACGTGAGGTTGAGCTCTGCTTCCTGACTTTTCCCTCTGGCGCTGTATTCTTCCCGTAGTGTGTGATCTGTACTGCGCCATTATTTTTTAAAAACTTGCAGTGTGTGCATGTCTGAGATTAGAGAGAAAAATATCGTATCAAGTTTCTTCTTACTGTATGTGTGCTGGGCAACCGGATTATTGTTTGGATTTTAAAATTGCTGTAGTCTGAGCTCGGAATAAGATTGTACGTTTGCTGTGTCAAGGGCTGGGCAGTGTAGCTGGAAAATTTACCACAATAAAATGTTTCATTTTAGTAATATTTTAGTAATAATTAAATTAAGGACCGGAAGTAAAAAGGTTAATTTATATGTAACGGGTATCTTTCGTGTTTATTTATAAATTTGGCAGTAGTCGATTAAATGATGCTCTATTGTTTATGTTTTCTAAGGGGTTTCCAATGTTAAACTAGTCTAAATTTAAGTTTCTGTTTCATCAACGGGGACATTTGTTGTGGGGAATATCCCTAGCAAATGCTTTTCTATTGTTTGATCACAGTTTGATCTTGATAAAAGTATGGCCTCCCCTGAAACGGAAACAGGGAAATCTCAGAAAATTAAACATTTTATCAACTGTTTATGTGTTAAGAAGGTGAATTTGATTGAGTTGAGGTCATTTGAGTTGAGGAATGTTGTTTAACAAGAAGCTATTTTCTTTTGTTGATTTCCTCTTTTATAACATCTTGAGTCAACTGTACAGCTGATTGCTGTAAAGCAGCTGTTGCTCCGTGTTATTGGGCCGTTCCTGTTGTAATACCTTTGGTCTTTGCTGTTGTTATTCATTACTTTGTACTAGAAGAAGTAGATTGCTTCAATTTATTGCCTCACAACATTGTGTGCTCGGGCGGTGCACATGTTTCTACCAGCTGGGTGCTTTTCTAGGTTACACCTGAAGCCACATGGACTCTACTGCCCCCTATAGACTGTTGTCAAAGGTTACCATCACATGCAACTGACCTAAGCATGGTTTAAAGCCATTTTAGAAAAGGGTAGCAAATTTTTTTTCGGCATAAAATGTTTCCTCCTGGGAACGTCATAATTAATCTAAAATCAGTGGCTCATTGTTGACATTTCTGTCAGTCCCAGCAGGCGAATTTCGATACAGCTGGGTTAACGATACTGTGATCAACTATAATTAGAGCCACTGGTGCAGCACCGTTTGAGTGCTTTTCCATTTGACAGGAACGGCACAGTAATATTTCTTGCTTACCTTGATTTTCTGCTTTGGAGGGTTTAAATCGTGAAGCGCTGACAGAAAATGTTCTGTATGCATTAACAAGCACTTAACTGCAGATCGGAGTGGAGCAGATTAGAAAGGCTATCAGTATATCAGTAATGTGACCTGATTGTTGATGGAGAGGTGTGGTTGCTTGGGTGACATTAGAGAAAGAAGAAACAGGCATCACATTACTGCAGTGCTGTGGTAACCGACCCAGTACTACTAACGCAAGACAAATCACAGAACTATTGCAAGGTTTGCTATAATGACATTTTTTAAGCATCATATGTGACACACAGTCTATTTGTCTGTCTTATCAACAGTTAAAGATCACACATGTATGAAACAGAGTGGAGCCGCGTTGTTTGTGACCAGCAAATCATTGGTGTATCTTAATTACTATATTTTCAGTGCCATTTTTATTCATGCGAGATCAGTTGACCTGTTGATTTTTTGAGTCGACTGCATCTTCAGCACTCGTGTTTCGACTGACCACACAGTGCGGAGAGTGCCGCTGTATCTGGAAAGCTCCATCGGCGTTTGATCGGGGCGCTGTGACAATAGGGCTGCATGTGTTTCACCGCAGCAGCAGAGCAAGCAAGGTAATTGTTGCAGTCGGGGATTTCATCTGGGTATCACACGTACACACACTCACCGTGACATAGCTGTGACCTGGATGGAAGCCTTTAGCAGAGCACAGCGGAGGACAATAGAACGTACACGAAGCGCAGCGTGTCTGATGTTGCTGATAAGTACGGCTCTGTACCAGCGCACGGGGGGGAGACCCTGGAAGTGTGTGTGTTTGACCGACCAGGAGTGGAACAGCACCAAGGTGTGGGATTTAGTGTTGCTTTTATTATTGTGATCTCACGTTATCAACACAATATACAAAAAGGTACACAACTTTATAGGTTGCTTTGAGCTCAAAGAACTCTTCAACATTTTTTTTTTTGCATAGTCCAGCTCAATAGGGAAGTACAGTGTCTGGCTCCTTTCTCAGCTCTGCATAGCTAACCACTCGTGACGTCAATGTCAGGGTTGTTGAAAAGTTACAGATAAAGGGTGACACAAGACTCCCGCTCTTCGACATGGTGAAGGCGTGGTGGGAGGAAGTTTTAAATGCTATCCAACTGATTCGCGTTAACCAAAGTTAATTGAGAAGGTGTTTGTCTGGGGCTGTTTACACATCCCACACACAGAAAACATCATTATCATTAGAGTCGCCCCATGTCCACCTGTCAATCTAGTCCTGTATTTACTAGTTTTGATGATAAGTCATGTTTTCATTACTGTTGCAATGTAAGCATGCACAAAAAAACACATTGCAAACCACTGTCTGAGGTTGCTGAAAGGGAAAAATAGTTTTATTTGGGTATTCCATAAAAGCAAAATGATTTCTTTTCAATTTCTTTTTTCAGTGCCCATCAGTTATTTAGTGTTTGGTGTGATTGTTAGCAGTGTGCCCATTGAAGCAGAAGGACATAGGAAGTGTGTGACTAATACATGTCAGTATTTGTTTGTCTAACACAGGTTGTATCATCATAGCAGTTTAGAACAACGCCATCACTCATCACAGATCCTCCTCATATTGTGTATACATCACATTCACCCTCTTTTAGTTCTGTTTTTTTTGTTTCTACCACAATCTGAGAACAATATCTGTCTCTGTAGCTGCCAGATGTTTGACTTGGTGAATGCTCAATAAAGCCAAAGAGTTCAGTGAGAGGTTCCTCTGACTTTACCCATTCAACAATCCATTTGAGCTCCTGTCAATATAATGTTTGCATTAGTGGACTTTTAAATTAGAAGTGTGAATTTGTTTTATTGCTGACGTTTAACCCGGGCATTCTCGGTACCGCGCTTTATTCTTGTGATTTCTAAAAATTGCCTCTGACAATGGCAACCCCGTGGCTGTAATAAACTTTTCATCTGTTTAGTTCAGCATTAGTTCAGGCAGAGCACTGAGGTTATGCTGGAATCAGCTGCTTAGCTACCAGCTGACCAGCAACATCCAATCATACAACAAGTAGACACAGTTGCCATTATAACCCGACACTTCTCATTACCGCTCTGCTCGGACTGTCATGCTGCTCCCTCCAACCTCCGGACGTCCTTCTTATGCGCTAAGCTTTTGGTGTCAACTTTTTGAGGGTTCCCACAAAGAGCAGAGCCTTTTCCTGGCTAATCTCTAATTGTATAAGCCTTTCCTGTATGTGCTCAAATGTTTGATTATTTGTCCCTGACTGAAATATGATTGGCTGCTTATGACTGATCGGTCCAGTATCCTTGAATATTGCACATTGGCCATTCTCATATCAGTGAACTTCTGCTGACTTGCTGGTAGTTTAGCTTCTGTGTGGTCATTAAAGCCGTAAATCAAATCTGTTTCCGTCATTAGTCAGCTGTCCGCCGTCCACCCAGTAGTGTTAATGTCTGTGAACTTGTTCAGGGCCGTGATTAGTGCTATTTCTCTAATAGACTGTAACAGATTTGTATGTTTGAACTTCTAGTTGGTATTCTCCAGAGTAACAGAATAACACATTTTATGTTCTATTTGAAGCAGTGGTCTGTCAGACAATTAAACAACCAAATAAAAAAGAGATAAATCATTCCTTTCCTTCCCTCCCATCAAATGGCATAATCCTGTTCTGTCTTGTTAACAATTCTGCAGTTACCCAGTACAACGCTTGTAATGTAAACTTCAAAGGTGTGTCTCAGGATAATGCTCAGACCTCACTGCCAACAGTTTTAACACTAGTCAGTAGAAAAACTTCTGTCACTATTTCAGTTTCAGTAAAGACAAACTATCACACACACATACAGTTTTTATTTTTATGTCCAACACTCCTCACATTATTTTATGGATTACCTTTTCTTACAGATGCACCCTGTGACCTGCAGGACTTGAACTGTTTCTTGATCTCCCCTTATTTAATCACATCTCTCTCTTTCTCTCTCTGTGCCGCTCTAGTCACTGATGTGGAACTGAAGCGGCTGAAAGATGCCTTCAAGAGAACCAGTGGCCTCTCCTATTACATGACCCAGCAGTGCTTCTACAGGGAAGTGCTTGGAGATGGAGTTCCCCCTAAAGTTGCAGAGGTAAGCCACAGTTATGTGACACACCAAGCGCCCTTCACCTACATGCAGTGTAAGTGAGAAGTGCTGGCGCAGATGAATGCTTAATGATTTCCAGGTAGCCAGTGACCTGATTGCTGTGGTTGGGTCTTAAACACACAGACAACAGAGATCTAGATGGCTGATTCTTAACCATGTGAACCCTGAGCAGTTTCTGGGTGTTTTGTGCCCCTGTCCTATTTTATTCTCTGAGGGTTGAGTCCTGCACCTTCATAGAAACAGCACAACCATGGCTAGAGAGAACTCAAAAATATGGAATCAACATATATCACATTTTCCCAAGTGCTGACTACAGGTGTTACCAAGACTGATATAGGTAGCTACAGTTTTTTATGTCGGATAGCAAGGCTGTTGGATTGTCAATATGGAGGTCAAGATACAAAAGATACAAGGAGGGCTTGATGCTTGAAGGATGATTTGTTGTAAATATTCATTTTTTTATAGTTGTTATAATAACTAGTAGGGCTGATCCGAATAGCACTTTCTGGGCTCTGGATATTTGGGCCCAATTAATGATGAATATTCGGCGCAGTCGGGGGAAACTTCCACCCCGTCGAAGCGCACCCCTGGGATCGGGGTACGCTTTGACGGGGTCGAAGCGGCCGGAACGCACAGGCAGTACTTGGCTGCTGATGCCAGTTTAGTTAACGGTTACAGTTCTGTTTCCATCATCGGTGGCGGCGACGGCAGCAGTTACGCTCCACTGTTGCCATCCGCGTTTACTTCTGCAAACAATGAGCACGCTCGCCGCGTGTGACGTCGTTGTGTCCTCTTCTGGTCATGCGGAACACTTTTGGGTCGTATGAAGTTCACACAGAAGATCACATACAAGTCGCATTTAATTGGAAATGTGAACAAACTTGCAAAAAAAATGGATTTCACAAAAAAATCCGAATTGAGCATCAAGTCCTGCAGTGTGAACGTAGCCAATCTGTCGGATTGTTCAGTCAGATAATACGTCGTTATCCTTATTTGTGACATAAAATGTCGTGTCGGAGTCAGAATCCAAGGCTGTCGGTATGTTAAGGCTGTTTTTAATGGGTTCTGTTCATTTTTCATGACTGTAAAGATATTTTTTGGCTTACATTGTAAATTTCTTTCCATACTTGTCTCTATATGCTCTGTGTAAATACATCCTGCAGTTTAGCCCATTCAGCCAAATTTCAGCCAAAAAGACCCAGAATTTATGTCATGTAGCCGTGGGGGGCAGCTGAATCACTAATGGCTTCTCAGTTGAGCACAGGATCTATTTTATTTACTTTTCTTTTTTTTCTTTTTTTTACAGGATCTGGTGTAAATTATTTGTATTTTTTGTTGAATTTTTACATGAGACATGCATAACAACGTAATTGATGAAATATCAACATTCAAAGCTTGAATTGAATTAAGTTAGTGTAATACTGTAGTTTTTTTTTCTGTATTTTCCCTTTTTTTTCAATATTGGAAGACGCTATTCAAACTTGGCGCAGGGTTTTTAAGGTGCAGAGGGTTAATAAAGTACCAGCTTGAAAGAGAGTTTTTTCCATGTTAGTGACTTGCCCTTTGTCTTTAGATTAATTGGAAAAGACAGGCTTTGTTGAGTGTGTTGTGGAAGAGAGTGATCAATATTGTTCCAGATGGTATTACAGCGAGGGGTTTCTAGCAGGGGGTATAGTGACAGAATGATAACTGGGATCAGCTATAGCACAGACCTTTTTACCTTTTAGTGCTCCTGTGTCGTCCTTCCTTAATTAAATGCATCCAAAGTAGGGATCTGTACTGGTACTGAAAGTGGATCCTTAATAACCTGAAAAGAACTATTAATACCTCCTCTTTAATGATTTTTTATTATCCATAGTCTCCGTCTGATAGTCTTGCATTAACTCCAGCTCTGCATGCCACTAGAGGACTTACAGGTCCTCTAAAAAGGCGTCATTATGAATTTCCTGTTGAAGAATCTCAATGGAGTGGGATGTTAGACAAGATCAATCCTAAATGTAAACCATCGGTTATAGAGACTGAGTAGACTTCGACTAGGCTCTTTCTAACTGTTTCACAAAATGAATGTATCACAGTTATTATATGTATCAGCCATACAATCCTGTTATTGTGAAAATGCTTACAGGGATAAATATCTGCAAATGCTGCTTTGAATACATTTATAGCCACCGATGATGGAAAGAGACTCATCGAGCAGATACAGAGTTGTTTTTCTGTGCCTTTCTTTCAAGTAACTCTGAGTCATCGGTGCCATCGACATGCACCTTCCCTCAATAAAATCCAGCCATTATGTGTGCACCAGCATTACTGTAGGCAAATACTTAGATTTTCATGATATACACTGTGGCTGTCGTGCAGAATTCACAGACCTGCGGTTACATATAGTCTCTGTCTCTCGTTCCCCTCACACATCCCCACCTGACTGAGGCTTTTCCCTTCACTTTTCCCAACTTGTCATTCTCGAGTTACTCCAGTTGAAAGCTGCAGTTTTTTTTGCCTTCTGGCAATTGAAGTTGACAGTTTTAAAAATACTCAGGAGGAAAACGCATTGAGAGGGAATGCAAATTAAAGCATGTAAGTTTTTCCATGAAGTAGATCAATGAAAGGTCGAAATTTTCTGTTGCGAAGATGATCAAAAATAATAGAAGTGTTGTTGTTGTGTTTACTAATATCCTCTCGACTTTTAGATAGAATATTTTCATCTTATAAAGTCAGACTCTGTCCTTCACCAAACAAAGGTGCGTTTTTAGTGAATGCACTGGAGGCTTCAGGTTCACACATAATTTGCATACTAACCCATGACTGGCTGCCAAACTAGTTGTTTTGTCACAAATCCTGCTGATACGTCAATGAAGCACATTTAGATTCAAGGTGAGCTCAGAGAAGCGATTGCCCCTTCAGCAGCTGAATATGAAAACAGCCTTCGGATGTCAAACACTGCACCTATAGAAAGCGAGTGTCACTACAAGTAATTAAACTTAGTCCTTAAGGCCAAGATGTGCTTTTAAGAAGAGGAATTGTATTCAGTTTGCCCTGTGATCCAAACAGTTACTGTTAAAAGTCGACGTACGCAAGTCCCACCCAGTAGGTTTAGGCAATGCAACAGTTGTCAATGAGATATTGCATGCAAGCTTGATTAGCCTTTAAAGCTGCAGACGTTGTATCATTTTTATTAAACCTGTACGATGAGTTAAGTCACACTAGAGGCCTTCTGCAGCCAGAACCTGCGACTTCTCTGCTGGGTCAGTCAACTGGCCACCATGTTTATTAAAACAAGATGGCTTCGTCCTCAGTGTTCACAGAAAGAGAGAAAGGCAGTGTTGCTTTGTGAAGTTCTACAGCTGAAATTGCACCGCCGACTTTAATGGTTAATTGAAGTTAATTATGAATGTGTTGCACTTGTCTGGATGGACATTTTGATTTACTCATTTTATGCTTGAGAGTAAACAGCTCAGTCTTTTCTTATTGACAGTATGCAGCACTTAACTACCCTAACTGCATTTCTTTTTTTATGCCAAGCCATGAGTCCAAAGCAGAGGTACACACTGATCCATGAATTTTGTGTACAGTTACACTCCTAGGTGGCAGGAAAGGAGAGACAGAGCGACTATGGTGACTTTATACAAACTGAGGATGTTGTTGCTCCTCGTCTCCCCCTGAAATGTGTTTTTTTGCACAGAAACAGTGTGTCTGTGGAGTTTTAAGTAATGATTTTGTGAATTTTGAACTGATTTTATAATCAAACTACAGTCCAAAACACAGAGCTATTCGGCTTATTCTTCCACCCATGACTTATGTCATTCTGCAGATGACATCCAAGTGAGGTAACAATACACAAAAAAAGTTTAGATTGGAGAGGGCCTTTACCTTTGCTTACAGTGTGTCCTGAAAAAATGGGCAAGGCGGACTGTTTTATTAGTATTCATTCAGATTTCTAAGTGATGTGACAGGCTGTTTATTAGCCACAGCACTTTGGTTGGATTTTGTTCCTGCACATTTAAGTGAAACTGCAGAGCCTTCTCTGTAACAGGCTTCTTATTGCTATTGATAGGTATCTGTTGCTGCTACAAATTGCTGTTATTTTTATCAACTCGCCCTGTTTATACTACAGTACAGGATTTGTCATGGATTCATGAATTTTGTTTCTAGACGTGAAGATCTAAAAATCTGATCTGTGATACCGATTTTCTTCATTTTTGAAACTTTCATAGTATTGTTTCCCTCACAGTGATTTGTGGTGTCTTTAACAGGTGCGTGGGCATGCGGATACAAAATGAAAAAAGCTTCTTTCAGTTGTAAAATGTGATCAACATTTTTTCCCCCATGTCATGCTGCTCTGACTAATTACTGCAAAGCACATGCACACTGTCTTAGTCATTGTCACCTGCTGTGTTAGATCAGGGAGATTACTAGCTGACAGCGCAGACAGTTGCCTCACTCATTATTTATGTGGGCTTTTGTGTGGGATTTAGCTTCGGCTCTTTTCCCTATCGGTTAATGTTATGTATTATGAAAGTGCTACAATGTCTTCTGGCTGTGGATTTCAAGCATTGCACATTTGGAGCTCTTCCTTCAGCTAACCCTTCAAAACTGTTTTTACATTGTAGAGAACATTACCACTGCGGAAGAAAAAAAAACCCTGTGCATGATGCAACCAGGGCTTCTTACAGTCTTTCAGGATACAGTAACGACACATACCTTGTCTTTGAAGTGCATCAGTAATGCCAGTGTTAGTCATCCTGTCCTCCCCCCATCTGCTGCGAGTCTCCTAAAACCCAGTACTTACATGTGTTTATTGAACACTACAGCGCGCGTCTTCCCTCCTCTGTCTCTCAGCATTTCCCCCCCACCCCCCCCTTCTCCTCCTTTGTCACCATGGCAGCCGTTACTGTGGTGACAGTGGTCCAGATGTAAGGTTGCTGCTGGTGTCTTTAAACAGAACCATGGCTGCTGCACATTCTGACAGTTCAAAGAAAGCCTGAGTC